AATATGCGATTGTAAATTTCAAAATGTATCATCAGTCAGAGGGTCACAGATAAGTAAACTTGGCAATAATTACCTTATTTAGAGAATAACACTTGAATGTGGCTCTATAGCGACCCCACTTCCCACTTCCCTCTTTTGCTTCCGTTATTAAATGACTTTACAGAGAATACTAACGATTTTGTTTTCCATATACCTGCGGACCCTGACATTTATCGACAGACGATAGAGAGTAAATGGTTTTAGGGATGACTCTCTTAAAATTACCGAAAACAGGAACTTCAGAAGCGTTCTCACGAGTAGCTGACGTTTGTAATAATTAACGTTTTGCGGATATTTTTACGGTTGAATCTACCGCGTGTTAACATTTCTGATCGCACAATTTTAGTGCTCTCTAGAAATTGTAGTAGTTAGCAGAGTAAGTAACGAGGAATGTTTGTAAAGTGGTCAACGTTACGTGGATTACGTGGGGAAGGGAAAGAGGAGCCTTCGGTCAAACATTTCTCATAAGAGGTTGAGATTCAGAGGAAAAAATTCCCGAAAACACAAAAAATTATGTTTTTTTATAAAATTATCTAATCGTGGGAAGGGCGAGGGGTCCAGGCCAGGGGTCTGGTTCCTCCTCCTACCCTTAATTATGCCATCACTCACCCAACGGCCGATCCAGGTACTTTCAACAGGGGGGCGAAAGGGGGGTGCGGGGGCATCTGTCAGAACGATATCGAAATTTCAAAGCACTTAATATGCATTTTGAGTCAATTTCGTCATAAATAATAACCAAATAATGCAAGCGTCCTTCCATCTTCTTTCCTACGCTCCTCTCTTCTCTGCCCCTTACCCTCTCTTAAAAATTTACTTCAGCTGAATACTCATCCTGTAAAACTTTTTGAATTCATGTGCTCCACTACACTTAAAATTTAACCTTCCCCCTCAGCCCTTGTGTATTTTCACTGATATAACCTTGATTTCCATGTAAACACACAGAGGTGTAAATGGCCTTAGATGCTAAAGCACCGCTTTAAAATAAACTTACCTTACTACTGCTACTTACTTCCCATTTTCCCTCTAATTTTTTTCTGGCGAGAATGGAGGCCCCCCCCCTTGTGCCAGAATCCACCCATGTACTCACCGTCACTGAGTTTCCAACAATTTTTTTTTCGACCCAAGACGCTTTCCAAAGCGGTCCATTTTCGGGAGCACTCTGGAAACATTGCGTGGGAGACTGGCGCGCGAGGAGACGCTATAAATCAGCCCAACTATTTGGTCCGATTTGTTTTCGCTAACGAGCCCCCAGCCCCCAGCCCCCTCCGCGGCACGGGTCGTCGCGTCTCCCGTGTAAATACCGAATGCCGCGCCCGCCGTCGCCGTCGTCGTCGTAGTAATGACGTCAAACCGTTGAACTTTCCGTCTCATTGTCTTAATATCTCACGAGCACTTTCATCTCTCACTTCGTCCCTGCCAAACGCCCAAGGGCGCTTCTGCTGCGCCCCGCCACGGGATGCAATCATGATCTTGGAAAACTCGCCGAATGTAGGGCGATTTGGCAATGGAGGATTTGCTCCATAAGTAGAGAATGCAACTATCAAGTAATATTTGCATCAAAATCAGCCCGACAACATCAGACGTTGCCTAATTTATTCGCATGTCTCATTTTTAACTGAAAATCACAGGAAAAATGGATTGCTGGTTTAACAATTAAATTGTTAAAAACTATGTCCGACATGTTTCGAATGCACATTTTACAACAGTGGAATATTAATTTAACCATGTGGTTACAATAACATTTTTTTATTGTCAAATGTACATTGAAACATGCCGGGCACTTTTTTCAACTACAAAAGTGTTAAATCACCGATTTCATTTTCCGTAATGAAGAATCATTCTGACTTGAAATTTTATGAGTATGCTCTCTATAATCTAAAGGAAATCAGAAATTTTCAAAGCGGTGTCTTCTCTAGTCTCCTCTTAAAAAAATAAAGTACGAGTAACGCACAAGGCGCGAAGCGTTTCGAGAGTTGGACTGCGAAGCGGCCACGGGGCTCAGTCCTCTGGTAGGAAATGAAGATAGTAAAATGATTGAGGTGGGATTTCCGATTTTCCTCGGTATTTAGCGATTTACCGTGGTGCTGTTGTTGTTTTGCAACCCCTCGACATCGCAAATACTCGAGCAAGTGATCAACTGAGTATTAGATGAACTTGACAGTCTAATAGCTTCATGCAATAATTTTGCACTCGCAATTCATTTGATGCACGTATTTGAAATAACCTCAGTTTTCAGTCTGCGTTCATCTGTACTTTCCTTGTTTTTTATACGCATTTCATTATTAAAAATGGAAATGTCATGGCGGAGAACACTTCACTCAACTCTAGAGAAGTCATGGGCTATCCGGCAAATTTTTTGAAATCTTAAAGCATCTAAAATTCAGTTTGAGTCAATTTCGCTATTAATAATAACCAAAATAATATAAGCGTTCTTCCTCCTTGTTTACTTCCTTATTTCCTACGTTGTTTCCTTCTTGTTTCCTTCGTTCCTTCCTTCTTTCTTTCTTGCTCTTCTCCTCCTCCTTTTTCTTGCCAACGGGGGAGGAAGGGGGGGGGCGTACGCCCCCTACGCCCTCCTAAATTCGCCAAATGACACCATCTGATCTATTCCTCCATCCCTAGCCTTCTATTACTGAACGTCCACGTCGCACAATGGATCGAGCGTATGGAAGAGGTCGGACAAAATTTGGAAACTTTAAACGCTTGTAGCTCCGTTTATACGAAACTTTGAGGTTCAAAAAATTGACTCGATCCACTGTGTGCCGCATTCCTCCCGGATCGGAAGGAACCCACTGGATTACCCTTTGGGCAACCAACCATCCACTGGAAAAAAATCACATTGGATCTAGAGTCCAGACTCTTAAAAACATCGACAAGGAAAAATACTCTTGATTTAATCAGATTTAAGCTTAAATCAAGAACCAAGCCTCTTAATTTGAGCGGATTTCCTTTTGATTTAAGCTTAAATCTGATTGAGTCAAGAGTCCATTATCTTGTCAATGTTTTCAAGAGTCTGGACTCTAGATCTAATGTGTATTTACTTCCAGTGTCCGCGAAATCCTCTCCTTAAGCCCATACCAAAGCCATTGCTCGGTTTTGATATCTTGCGTGTTGCCACCAAAAGTCCGATCCAGTTGCTCTTAGGTTTTTCTCAGATGTCTTCGTCAACTGTCGTATCGCACTTCCGTAGGTTATAATGTTCATCACGATGATGCTGTAAATCCTCCTTTTATTTTAATATTCCTTCGAAATGCTGAGATCCCAGAGACCTACGTCTCCCATCGCGATAGCTCTCCTTCCTTGCAAATTACGATCGCCGGTGGCCCAATCCAACTCCAATCTTGATCCGGCCAAACTCCTAGGTATTCATACGCTTCACGAACTTTGTAGTTCCGGTTTTCCTCCACTTGCTGACCTTGCCGAATACCCCCAATACCTAACCAAAGTTTCCGTTTTTAATAGTTATATCTCATCCATCTAAAATTTCAGACAAAATAACATGAAACAACGAATTAATGAGAAATAGTTTAAGGAAACCAGCAGGGTTGCCACAGTCAGGGAATACCGGGAGATGTTAGGGAATTTTAAAAAGTCAGGGAAAATGAGGGGAAAATTGTCAAGTTTAACGTTTCGAACAACAAATTTTGCCTGATAACTATTTCAAATCATGTCTTTTTAAGCATCTGGCACATCCTCAATTGTCAGGAAATTTCACCAGAATGTGTCAGGGTAATCAGGGAAATGTCAAGGAATTGTCATTTTCTATGTGACAAATCTGAAACCAGAATAAGAGGTAGGTACACGGAATATTTTATCCCTGGTAAAAATTGGCGATAGGAGCTGCGTTTCAAAATACCATAGGAATTCTTATAGCCGGCTAGAGAAGGCAATAGAAAATCATATAGCTGGCTGTAGAAATCGGAGCAAATCATATAGCCGGGCTATACGAAGCGATAAAAAAGTATGCAGCCGGGCTATAGTTCTTATCGCCGGGCTGTACACTTTATCGCCATCGGCTATAAAAGGCTATAAGAAATTGTAGAAATTCGTGTGCTTTGGAAATCATTAAGTTTGATACGGAACCACCATAATATTCACAAAACACACATTATATTTTCCTTTAATACATATTTTTTTTCATCAATTAAAATGAGAATAATCCATACAGGATGTGCAAACATTTCAAAATCATGAGTTGAAAAACGCTGACTCCGCAAGATTATATTGGAGCCTAACACGCGAGCGGAGCGGCGCGCGGCGTGCTGCCAGCGATAAGCGTGCACCAGCGCCTACAAACCTAACAGGGATACTTCACGCATGGCGCAATGCGTGAAGTATCCCTGTTAGGTTTGTAGGCGCTGAGGCGCTTTTCGCGCTGGCCGCCCGCCCGCCGCGCCGCAGCGTGCCAGGGCGCTTGAAGCAACTATTTCACACCAGAGGTATTGCACGGTATCATACGAAATTGAAGGCGCTCCAACATATCAGGAATGGCAGGCATCCTTCAAAAGTATGGAGCTTTCCGCGCAAAATAAATTACGATACAACGGCCCAAAAATAGAGCGGTAATTCAAAACCTCACTGAGTCCTAGCATCCGTAATTAGTAACATTTAGCATACACTTTATCGCCTGGCTGTTGCTCGATCTCCACCGGCTATAAAAGGCTATAAGAAATTGTGCAGCCGGCTATAGAAGCTATTGAAAATCTTACAGCCGGCTTTAGGTCTATGGTATTTTGAAACACAGATTCTACTGCCAATTTTTACCAGGGATTCAAGGAAATCTCTATACCCCATTTAATATAGTTCCGTTGATTGTATACGTGTATTTTGAATAAACTGTCACCCTCCTGACATGAGAGCGTAACTACAATTAGCAATCTGAGCTCATCTCAATGTGCAGTTACGCTCTTTTGTCAGCTGGGCGATGAAATTATCCATATCTTATTGATATCATATCATAGACGACGAAAAGACAGAGGAGAAGGTGTGAGGATGAATTTCCAAGATGTACCACTCTCACATGGAATGAAAGCAGGACAGGATGATTCCATCTGCAGACAAGGAAATGACCCTCTTTAAATCAACGATCAACACTCAGCAACAACTTAAAGAACGCGGTTGTGCAATTGCCAATAGTCAGATAGCCCCAAATCACATTTATTGCCACAAGCCCCTCGGAAACAATACCTTCTGAACCGTAATCCTGTGAAAGTTACAAAAAAGCGGCCCCCGAAGTGCGGCATCGTAATTCCCTCGTAACCGAAAAGTGTTACGTTAATTGCGAGGATTGTGCAGAAAACCACCGGGCGGCATGCGTTCTGTCGGCCGGTCATTCGCCAGTTCGCATCCCATTGTTCTCGGCTAATCAATTAATCGTCTCCCGAATTTGCCCGTTCGTCGACCGAAGTGATACGGTGCATAGTCGGGCGTTGCAGTGAAGTTTGATCCGATCCGAATTTCAGCCCGCCAAGTTTGTTCCTCTGTGCCGGCATTTTTCTCCGTGACTTTATGATCGTTCCGCTGAAGTTGGACTCGCTGTTCGCGTCGCTGATGGCCATGCTGCAGCCAAGTTGCCGAAGTCGCAACTCCATGAATGCTTGGTTCGAGAGCATCATTCGAAGGTACCTGTTTGTCAGCCGGCACCCCTCGCTTCCTTCCCTCCAGTGGCGATCCTTGAAATTTGGCAACTCTGTTTCCCTCCATTTAAAACCATTAAAAATATCGATTTTAGGTGAAGCAAGCTTCCTCACCAAGAATCGATTGTTCCGCATTCGTTTAGCGCTGTTCTCTACTCGTCAAAATGGCGTCACAATGGAAGCTCAAAGTGGATCGATTTCAACGATAAGTGGCTCAAAGTCGGGACTTGATGCGATTGATGAGTGTTCCAACTCAAAATAGAGCGGCGCGACCCTTTTTTGATCAACGATCGCGAACAGATCGTATTTATCGATTCGCTTTGAGCTTCCGTTTTGACGCCATTTTGACGAGTGGACACAGGGCTTTTAACTGGAGGAAGAACACTGTCGCCAACTTTCAAGAGTCGCCACTGCTTACCCCCGTGTTTGTTTCTGCTCCGTTTCATTCGCACGAGGAAAAATTTACTTTGGCAAAGCTCGTGAATGAACTTTTGTACAGGGAAAAAAGCTCTGCTTGTATTGACATGGTTTGATTTTGTCTTCATGTGCTTGTGCAACAGGTGTTGAAGAGGTGTTTGTTAGGTCTACTTTGTCAGATACTGGCGTTGCAGTTAAAGGGGACATAGTGTTGCCTCAAATATGTATAAATATAGGGCTCTCAGTTGACGAAAATTGCCCCCGAAGGCATGCTTTGCCTGTCGTAAGGGATGGGAAATAGTAGCAGGAAGTAAAGCGGTAGCAATACACGCATAATTCGTACAGGCCTACAAATCGAGTTCGAGATAAACGGTGTAGCTCGCTGTTTTTTATTGTACAGACGCCAACCCATGCATGGATTCTGATCAAAATGTTCGTCGTGAATCGATGTATCAACGCTGAGTCAGCAAAAAGTTTCAAAAACTTATAGTCACAGTGTTAGAATAAAATTATCGCTTGATTTTTGTATTTGGTGTCTGTTGTATCTAGTGGTTGTCGTAGCACTGTTGTTTTTGTTTTGAATGGCCATGTTGTATTTTTGTTTCTTGATTGATGTTCTTCCTCTTTCTCTTCTTTTCGCTATGGTTTGCATCTTTTATATTCCAATAACATGCATTGCATTTATTCGCAGAAAAATGTATGTGTACGTCTTCGAACCAGATGTGTGTATGTAGAAGTCGCTTTTACAGCGCTCTAGGACGCTCTGCGACACCTAATTCACTGAGATCTGTCCTTTAGAGATTTTCCGGAAACTGGGATCCCTTCATCTCTTTTTGGATCTTTTGTTCTTCGAACAACATCTTTCTTGAAATCAATCGGCTGAGTTTCCTTTTCTTGATTCCTTACTGAAAATGTCTGCATGGGAGTACCTATTATCAAATTACCAAGGAGCCGTAATTTATAAAGAATAGAATAAATACATATAAAAATTAATACTTTAATTAATTAATAAACATATAAAAGTAGACATATTGACGGAATGGCTTAAAAAAGTATCAAACACAAAAGTTCACATTTTGTTCATGTGTTCTAAACGCGGTTCCAATGGTCGCGAATGACTGACACATTTTTGTAACAAAAGGAACATTTTAGACCTCGTCCATTTAAAAAAAATGATTGTAAGTCTAAGTTCCGTGATTAGGATTTTTAGTAGCGCATGCGGTCTGGATTATCGGGCACAGTAGCTAAAAGCTGAGGGTTTAGCCAAGGAGCTAAATCTTCAGCTGCTTGGGAGCACCTCCAGGCACGGGTGTAGTTTTACACAGACTGAGAATAAAATTTTGATCCGATAAAATCTGGTCGTGAGGGGGCATCTTCATGGAGGAGCCAAATTAACGTTAATATACATGTATGAAAATGAAATCCACAAAATATGAACCAAGGCTCATGTCCTGTCGTTTGAATTAATTACCTCTTCTTTGCTACGCGCAACGCGAAGTGTCAATCACAATCTGAAATCGTGCGAAGTTGAATTGAATTAATTTATTTTTTGTACGACGAAAATGATAAGTAAGCATTGTACTATTGCGTCGTCTTGGTTGCTCATTTCCATTTACAAAGTTTTATAAGTACAACATTTCATAGTTAAAAGAGATGAATAATTTAATACCCTTTTATGCTCAATGCTCACAAACTCAGCGAAATGAAATCCGCCTTCAATTCTTAGGGTGGCAATATGCGCTGCAGGTTTGTTGAGATGAAGAAATCTACTAGGTATCATGGGAAGGAAAAATCTTCGTATTCGTGTTTATATCTTTCCATTTTCCACGTGCTCACGTTTACCTCTTTAAAGATATCAAACAGGTTTGGAAAGACTGATAGTGCACAAAAAATACGAGTGCGCAGATTTACAATAAATTTTTCGACTTTTGAATGATAAAGGAATTAACTCCCACCACGTTAAAAAAAAAAAAAAAAAAAAAAAAAAAAAAAAAAAAAAATTTATCTATTGGTTTCCACGAAGGAGAGAATCTAACATTTTTGGATTGCTTGCATCGATAAATTCAATTCGCCTGGTTTTGACACACCCCACACGCATACTTCCACAGTTACAGGATTGAGATTTGATTTATAGTGTAACAGCCACTGGGAAAGGAACCTTATTCCACACAAACTGAAATTGAGTTATTAATACCAGAGTATAGAGAGGTTTTCTACAAAAATTTTAGAGTGAATAATAACAGAAAATGTCAAACCGAACTGGAGTCTCGGTAATTTCAGGTTTTCCTCCCTCGAAGAGAAACCATATGGTAATGCCGAGGAAAATCAATCACAACATTAAACTAGAGTCTGAGGAACTCAAGATACAATTATTATTAACTTAGAAATCTAAGCTTCCATGGGACAGGGGGGAACTATAAGTAACAAATAACTGTATTATTTAGGAACTTTCTTTTAAAATGTAAACAAGGCCTTCGGGTGATATTCTGTTAAATATCATTCCACCCTGTAAATAAACATAATAAAAAATTGATTTTCGTTTAAAAAAAAAAAAATTTCAGGTTTGCTATTCAAAATACGTAGTTCAGAGAAAAAACTCCTTAAAATTCTAATCTCTATAGCGTCTGGCGCGAAACAAATTCAATGCAATTTTATGCTTTGCATTGGCAAAAAATTATACTTAGTTAGCCGTTCTCAACTCTTTCTTTGAAACACTATCATTGATGACGTTTTCTGTAATCCTGTCGAAATCCGATTTTTTTATTGATTTGATTGTTTGGGTTGATTTATTTAGTTTATTTGCATAATTTGAACATGTACGTGTTATCAAATACAAAATACAAAAGTACCTTAAAAAGGAGTGTTATAAAATCATATTAAAAAACTCAATGATTATTTTTTGGTCCCTCTTATCAAGATAATTACCTAAGGTCCTTTTTTCGGCGAGGTCACAAACCTGTTGATTTTCAACTTTCAAATATATCTCTAATCACATTTTTTGAAATTCAAAGGAGTTAGTTAGACCGTATTAACAGTTTTTGCCACTCAGTATTTACTTAGGTCTTCCGTAAAATTGTATTCACATGCTTTTATTTCAATCTGTTTCGCTTGCTGGTGTCATTTTGTTTTATTGATATAGAATTTGTATGGTCAATTTGATTTTTACAGATATCGACAAACACGATATTGCTCGAGGCGGGTTGTTTTCAAACATGGTGATTGTAATGTTGTACAAGGAAATGTCGCTAAAAGAAGAAGAAAATATTTGCAGGTAAGATACACCTTCACCTTGGTTTTTAAGACATGATTTTCTATTAAAGCCATTTAAAAGAAGAAAATAGCTACCAAGAAATACTTTAAAACACTGACTATAGAATGGAATTTTTGGTATAGCGTTGTACTTTTCTCCCACTTCTCTGCTAATTTCGTTTCGGCTTTTTTCCAACTTGCAGCCGTTTGTGTATGTGTATGTTCGTGATCCAGCTTGTTATAGACCTGTTTTGTATCGGGTTGATCTTTCCGCATGTAATTTAGAATTAACCTCCATAGGTTGAGATGATGCGTTTTTACCATTTTTATATATGATGAAGGGTATATTCAAGGGGCTTGGAGGATAAGACGCATAAGTGCAGTTTTTTTTAAAAAAATTGAGATATTCATAGACTCAACTAAAACTAGTTTGAAAGTATATTCTGTGAAAAAACTCCTTTTCTGCCATAAGGTTCCATGTACTTTTGAAGTTTTAAACACGTATTTCTTGAAATAGCAGAAACTGCACTCATGCACATTGTCCCCCAAGCTCCTCATTTCTATCACGTCGTCGGTTCTTTGTAGTCAATGCGGTGCAACATAAAATGAGATAATGAGATATGCGCCCACGTAAATATCAAAATGTAAGATCAATGTAGGTTCAGTGTAAGATCAATGTAAGATCAAAAGCATTCCATGGTTGTAGCGGAAATCGCGGGGGAAGCGTTGGACGCGTTTATTCCGTCGCTGCTTTGCCGTTTACCTACGTTTTAGCTATGTAGTCTGCGAACACGGAGACGGTGAATCTTCTTCATTCGGGATGTCAAAACCATTAGAATTGTCCACCGAAGGCACGAAAAGCAGAGCCAATCATGAGAGACTCCCTAAACCGATATTTTCTTTCTTATCCCCATAGGCGTAGCTAGGGGGGTCCTGGGGGGGGCTGGCCCCCCCAGAAATCTCGTGCCCCCCCCCCGCTCTCTTCACCACGAGAGGTGGTCCCATGCCCCCCCCCCCGAGAAATTTCCTAGCTACGCCCCTGCTTATCCCTTAAGCCTTCACGAGATTTTTCGCCAAAACTACTGCTCCGAATGAAAAAGGCAGGAATAGAGCAGAGGCGAGGCGTGAATGATCGATCATCCTTATTTCCCCCTTTGAAGCTGCGGTAAAGAATCAATTATTAAGGTGTTCGTCGCGAATACCCTGTTTATCGATCTTTTTTCATAGGTTTAAATGGTAGATCAATCGATACATTGCGAAGCACGGTACACCACGCCTCTCGAACGGAGGTTTGCTTCCAGAGAATGCCTCTCGACAGGCATGAATATTAGCCTTTCATATTATCTTGTATTCAGCCTCATTTATCTATCTATACCTGCCTTACTAGTACCCTTTATCCACACTCTCTTTTTTTCCTTTGAGGCACAATTATTTGTAATTGAACATCTGAGAAAAGTTGGCCTTTAATTTTGCAGTATAGGATGCCACACTGGAAAAAATAACACATTGGATCTTGAGTCCAGACTCTTGAAAACATTGACAAGAAAAAATACTCTTGATTCAATCAGATTTAAGCTTAAATCAAAATTAAGAGGCTTGGTTCTTGATTTAAGCAAAAATCTGATTGAATCAAGAGTATTTTTTCTGGTCGATGTTTTTAAAAGTCTGGACTCTAGATCCAATGTGTTTTTTTCCAGTGCAGTTATATTGACTAGTTTTCTTCTTCTTCTTTTTTATATATCGTAGTATCACCTTTTTCTTCTTTGCAAACTCGTGTTTATTCCTATAATTGATAAACTATAAGTGCTTGCAATTCCTTAAAGACACAACTATAGATCAGCTTATATGGGTATTTCTTAATATTTTAGGATCTAAACACTAAAAGGCTACTCTGTTTAGACCCGTCAAACTTTGGGATCAATCTCTTTTCCCTCTCCCTCTACAGGAACACATACTTTCCTGGTTCCCGCGATTAGACTGTAGTAGTTCCCGTCAGTGACGAGGTGTAATGATCGATAATGATATTTCACCATTTGAAGCTACGTTAAAGGATCGATTATTATCGATCTGTTGTCCTTTATTATCGATATTATATCGCATATTATCATCAATCCTTTCCTATAGGTTCAAATAGCAGATCAATCAATATATCGCAAAACACGCCAAGCCACTGTCCCGAGAGCATCTTCGAGCTCTGCACTGCGCTCCGGTTTGGGATGTCTCAGCATGGATGTGGTATCATGCATCGTATGAAAGCAGCATGTGCCGCGCGTCTCGTACGAGACAAAAGAGTCGTAATTTCACAAATTCACAAACGGGAAACTGAATACTGTATGGTCTATGACTTGTCGACTTCCCTTTAATCTAAAATCGTTTTACGCTGCACGTTTGTCTGGTGGCTTTTGGCCGGGAACCAACAGACGGGCGGCGCTTCGTCGTCAAATCGGAGACCCCTAGCCCGAATTTATGTTGATCCGCTCGGAGGGTTTTAAGAGCCGTTTACGATTTTTGGCAACTTTCGTGCATGAACAGAGAACCAATTACTGGGCGGAAAGTCGCTTTTGATGTCGTGTCACCTATTGCTCGTTTCGTCATTGCCCTCGTCTTCTTTAATTATCGGGATTCGGATTGTCTTGTGCTTGTGCGTGTCACACCAAATTGCACCGTGCAGTTGACCTAAAGTTGGACACCTTTTTGCTCTCAGAAAATAATTTTTTCGAAAGATTAATTATTTTTGGCTGGCGCTCTAGATAATGGAAAAAACATCTTTTCGGGAAACTAAAAACAATTGATGTCGGCTAAAATGATCATAAATGGCCGTCAGAGCCCTCAAGCGCCTTATCAATCTGAGGAAAGATATATGAAGGGTCTGATGATAGAAATAACCGTCAGAAAACGTGATTGACCATCCACCAATAACATTAGGTAGTTTTTATGATTTTTTCATCCTTCTCCCCCTACAACAATAGGTCCCTATCGGGTGCCTATCGGGTGCCTCTCGGGCCCCCTCTTAAAAATGAAGTCGGATTGAAAACAACCCCTTCCCCCGCAATATTGAAAAAAAAAAGGCAACCAACCGACCAAGGAAAAGCAGAAAAATAAATTTGAAATGTTAGGAAGCTATTTGGAGAATAGAAAGAAATGAACTGCAATTTTGTCCATTGCTTTTCAATTTTAGATATGTCAGGCTTTGGGCAGCTTTGACCGTCACTGGGAACCTACAGGTTTGGCTGAATCCCCCTCCCCCTCGACAGATATACACGAAAGGTACCCCTTGAGCCCCCCCCCTCCCCTGATGTCCTTCATGTAAGGCCTCTTGCTTCCAAAATAAGGCGGAGCCCAAGTCAAAGAATGTAAGTCTGAAACTGATCATCTAAGAAAAATCTGCACAACTTTGAAGTTTTCATGCACAGTATACAACTCGTAATAATGAGTGAGAGGATTAGAAAGTTTCCAGCAGACCTTATTTTTATAAACGGAGGTTTGCTGAAACGTGATGCGTGGGAAAGTTGCATACCAGCGGTGCCAAATTTGGTTTGCAAATTAACACAAATATTTCTTTCGGTAGGATTGCATCTCGGTAGACTTTTAATAGTAATATTAAAAATGTTCAGTAATTATTAAAACATTTTCTGGGTTAACATTATGGTGAACGTCAACCTCAGTTTATCGGAAGCCAACCAAAATATTAAGGTATACAATGAATTGGGTCTTGTCAAGATAGATTTATAATCAGAAGATTTATTCTAAAAAAAAGAAAGAAAACATGAATTAATAGAAAAGAAGGAGGAGGTTGAAGCCGCTATTGTACCTATTGGAAATAATTTTATTTGTAACTGCGGGTGACTGCTCTGCTAAGGCGATTTTCCCTTCTAAAACCTAATTTTGACACCGAACCAAGCGAATAAATTTTTCGCCAAGCCGCAGTTTTGACGCGATTAAACTGCTCTCTGATACAGCAGATTACGATTTTCATGCCTCTACCTCTCTTAATTTAAAAATCTAAATTTTCGTTTATACTCCTATATATTTTCAAAATTACCTGTAAAGACGTTAATAGCCTGAGTCGCTGAATGTCTCAAAATTATAATAACTAACTAACTAACTGTCTTTTAACACAAAACGAAGAGAATGCCATGCACACGATGAACTTATCCATTTTAAAATAGGGATATTTTGCCAGAAAACTATGAATAAAACAAGAGAGGAGAAAAAACAGGAAACAAAGTTTACAGACCGCTTGGCCAGTACGCTTTAAGTATAAATTTACGTCGGCTTTATGTTTCCCATGCGTGAAATAATATCGTAAAACTTTAATCGTGTCCGAGCGTAAACTTTTTCTCATGAATATGCCGTTTCACGATTCCTCATTTTTGTCACCTGCAATTTGACAGCAATGAGATAAGGCTAATTTATTCATAATACAATTACAAACAGCGGTGCGATGTATTTTTATGAAAAAGCGCCTCTACTCGACCAGGGTGACAAAAGAAGAAAAATAGCAGTGGCATGGCGTGCTTTGCGATACATCGATTGTTCTGCCATTTAAACCTATGGAGAAGGATCGATATATTGGGTGTTCGCAACGAACAACTTAATAATAGATTCTTTACCACAGCTTCAAATGGGTAAGTATCGATAATCGATCGTTCACGTCTCGCCCCTAGAGTGAACAGAGTGGAGAAGGGGGCTTAGCAAGTAATTGATTTAACAGTGTTTCCGGGATCGAGCAACATTTAGTAATAATGCAATTAATTGCCGGCGCACAGTGGATCGAGTCAATTAGAGAGGTCGGACATGAAATTAATGACTAAAACTGCAAATTTTGATGTTTATTTCGTCACATTTTAAATTTCAAGGGGTACTTGAGGAGGAAAATTTTACGAGGGAACCAATGAAACCACTTTCGGAACCTCGAATTTTTGTATAAACGGAGTTTTAAGCGGTTAAAGTTTCCAAATTTTGTCCGACCTTTCCTATTGAATCGATCCCCTGTGTGGCGTTTGCATTTAAAAAACCGCAGCAAGAGGAAAGGGCCCTGACGCCGCTGCGCAAATTGAGTGGTTATTAGTGAGCCCTATGTTGAATCTTGGATCAAAGGGCCTAGCTCCACATTTTAATTATATTGAAAGTGTATGCAAATATTCATGGTCTGCTGTCTTTCCTGAGAAACGCTTAGAACCCACCAAAAATAGATACATCAAAAAATATGTTCGGTTAAAAACTCACCCGTTGCCTGACGTTCTCGACAGTTGTAAATGAATGGGAAGCCGGAGTTACCAATTTTGAATTATTAGGATCCATTTATTCTTCGCAGTTTACTTTAAAAATTATTCAGGCGATTTTCTTGACAGATATACGTGAGGAAATATTTAAAACTGAGGGCATGAATTAACGTAAGTTTTTTTTCCTGTGCCTATGAATAAATGGCTAACTGGAATAGAACTAAGGGGGTAAATGATTGCAGACTAACTAACTATCTCTGCCGTTAGTTAGTCTATTATCTACGTCCTTTGTCCAATGCAACCGCGTACTTCCACCAATAAGATCCCTCCATATCCTTTTTGTCCTTTTGTCTATCACTTTGTCTATCAATTTCAAAAATCAGCCCGCTCTCATAGAAAGTAAGCCATAAACGAACTCAAACTTTTCGAGTCTTCTTTTTTGCCCAGCTGGTAAGAGTTTTTCAAGACTCGCACCGGTTTTACAAGTTGGGTAACTGACCAGTTGTGACTCAAATTCTATGTTAAAAATTTTCTATGTAAGTTGGGTTGGCGTTACTTTTACAAGCTTTGACGACTATCAAACCTTAGTAATCCTCCGTAGTAACTACTGTGAGTTAATTTTTGGGATATTTTCAGGACATATTCACGACGTTGGTCGACGCACAATGGCGATGGACGTTGCTTGTGTTTTCAATGAACTTCGTAACCAGTTGGTTTGGTTTCGCAGTCATTTGGTACCTGATAGCTTATAGTCATGGAGATCTGGAGCCCTCGACGGACACCGGCCCGATGAAGTGTGTGGTCGGAGTCCAATCCATGCTCACCGCTTTCCTCTTCAGTATAGAATCTCAACACACCATAGGTATATTAACACTTTTTGACGATATAACTGAATCTTCCAGTTTGAAAACGACCCACCTCGACAAAATACAATTTTTCAGGAGACGAAAAAAACTGCGTGACAGCCAGAAAAGGAGTGTTCCTTCGTAAAAAAATGAACATCATAAAAAAATTCGAGTTAGGTCGTTTTTGAACTGAACGATTCACTTAAGCTTCAAAGTAGTTTTATTTCATAAACTATTTAGTTTTTGAGACCTCGACTGAAGGAAAAATTGTTGTTCAGTGAAAAATCGACTTTGCATGTAACTATCATATTCATTCATTCAAATAGAGTGCCTATACAGGAAGAGTGCTCTCCCTACATAGGTACTCTATTTGGACTTATTTATGCTAAACGGCACTATGGTGGAAAGATGGGGTGTGCTCGTTAGTTGAGGTCCATAAGGATGAATGGGGATTTTAAAGCGCCAGTGACGTCAGCGGCAACGAATCTGTCTCCATTGTCGTTGCTGCTCGGCTTTAACTCATGAGCCCTGTGCACAACGCTCTTGCCACATGTCCACGGCTCACGAGTTAGCGTTCAGTTCCTTTTGGTTGAATGTCAAATAGCGCTTTTCCATTTCCTCAAGAGGAACTATATCCACTTTTACGTTGTTTCTTATCCAGCTCACCAAACCACGAGCACACCCCATCTTTCCACTTGCGTCTTAGCATCTTTCCACTTTGAGTCTCACAATAACAACAGTGAGGCTCATAGTGTCCTTCTTTTAATTTTCTTTCAAAATCAGCGAACATTGTAATACAATGTCTGAAAGGTAGTAACACTGAATATATTGGTATTTGAAGTGTAGCCGAGTGCTAGAAATAATGTAAAATTTTCTTTAACAAACTTAGATTTTATTAACAAACTTTGACCGAAGCTTTTCGAAGCAAACGCTTCATCGTCAGGGTCACAAAATCGATATCACAAAGGCCATGATTAAATTTCAAACAAGGTAACAGATTTCAGCTGTAACGATTGATAACAAGCTATTAGATCAAAAAAATTAGTTTTTTTTTAACTAATAGCTTGTTATCAATTGTTACCACTGAAATCTGTTACCTTGTTTGAAATTTAATTATGGCCTTTGTGATATCGATTTTGTGACCCTGACGATGAAGCTTTTGCTTCGAAAAGCTTCGGTCAAAATTTGTTAATAAAATGTAAGTTTTTTAAAGAAAATTTTACATTATTTCCAGCACTCGGCTATACTCCAAATACCGATAATTTTTTTTTGTTTTGCCGGTTGAAAATGTGGGTGTGATCCCTGCGAAACGTCCCGGGCTTTTTATTTTATTTTATGTGTTTCTTTTTATTACTTGCGGTCTTAGTCCCGATTTAAGTTGTTTCTTTCCACTCGCACATAGTTCCTTTCAGCATAAATACGTCTATTTTGCTCTTTCCAGTCTGGAGGATTGTCTTCGTCTAGTGGTGGGCTGTGGGAAACGGATGCGTTTCTAAAGGGGTTTTGATACGGGGGTGATGTTTTGTTCTGTTGAGGTTACGGTACGCGGAGCATAACGGACGAGTGTCCGGAGGCGATCATCGTGCTTTGCGTGCAGAGCATCATCGGTGTCATGATCCAGGCGTTCATGGTGGGCATCGTCTTCGCGAAGCTCTCCCGCCCGAAGAAGCGGACCCAGACGCTCCTGTTCAGCCGAAACGCCGTCATCAACCAGAGGGACGGCCGCCTCTGTCTCATGTTCCGCGTCGGGGATATGCGCAAGTCCCATATCATCGAAGCCCATATTCGGGCCCAGCTCATCAGTAAAAAGGTGAGCTATTTGTTGTTGTTGCAGCAATAAAGATGCGATCCTGGCGTAGGTCAGCTGGTATTTTCAGAATAGATCCCGTCTGCGAGCAAAGAGTGCAAAGGCGAGGCGTGAAAGATCGATTAACATCGATATGTCCCCACTTGAAGCTATGGTAAAAGATCGATTATTAAGATGTTCGTTGCTTACACCCTGTTTATCGATTCTTTTCCATAGGTTTAAATGACAGATAAATTGATTTATCCCGAAGCATGCTACGCCACTGAAGAGTACGTACGATCACAGTTGCCTGAAAGAGGGTTGCTGGTGGTCTGGAAAATACGAGGAAAGTCTAGGAATTGGCGATAATCGGGAAAAGTAAGGGAGTTTGAGGGAAAAATCAGAGAATTCCTGACACATTTGTCAGTCACCAATCAGTATTACTGCTTCTCCAACCGTTCCTGACCATTTACCTTATCTGGTCATTTTTATGGCTTGTTATCCTTTAACCAGCCTCTGAATGCCTTTTTCCTTAATTTGATCTCCAAAGGAAAAATTTTGCCCGAAGTTTAGCAAAAGTTAGCGTACTTAAGAAAAAAAACTGCTGGGACTTTTGTTTGGAGATCAGGAAAAGTCGGGGAATGAGACAATTTTGGAGTCAGAGAAAAGCAAAAAAAAAAAGTCAGGGAATTTGAAGATGAAGAAATCATGGTAACCCTGCTAAAAGACCATTGTTCAAGATACTATGTTAAAACACGATCATATACAGAGAGTTGTAGAATGGTAGGTTGCCGAAGAAGGTCCTCGTATAGGTTTCTCCTCGGAGAAAACGCACATGACGCCCTTGAGAGAGGGATCGAGAGTAAAGACGACATTTTAAAGTGCTGGGGTTTTAAGGATTTGTGGCTTAATATAGGGATTAGTGGCGATCAGGGGTAATGGAGCGCCGCACCGCAAAAACGGCGCAACGTTCATATAATCGGACTAGTTCATGGTCAACGAAAACAGTGATCTATCTATTGAAAAGATTGCTCTGGCGTTTTCTGCAGCGAGTCTATTATTGTATCCCTTGAATAATGTGCCATCCGGCTTTAATGAGTGTGACTAATAAGAGAGAAACGTAGAAGATAAGAATACTGAATAGTAAGCCTTCCCTTTCACTATATACTTGTGTTTTTCGAAGAGTATAGCCCAAATTTTAGGCTGCGATTCCTGGCCCCGAGTTGGATGACGAGAAATTTGGTCACACCTACACCATCACTGTTATGTCGGAGAAAAAAATTGTTGAAGCAAAGAGTTTTTCTGTTTTAAAAACAAAATTTGGCTGCTGTAAAACTTGAATTTAGATCGACGGTGACCGGGAGTTCCTCAGAAGTAAAGTTGATGACTTTTAATGTACGTGCAAGTCTATTGCATCCACTGGAGAGAGTGGATTTTCTAACCAAAACTGTGCGAAAATATCGTCGTATGCAGTGACAATTTTTTTCAGCAGCAGGAATATTATGTTGAGAGCTACGCAATTGTATTGCAATTTAATACAGCTTTTTTTTAAATGTCTAATATCAATAATGCTTTCATAAAAATCTACACCCCGATTTGCATAACCTTAAACTTAAATATTTACATTTTCATCGAACATATTATAAAAGGGGGCTACGCCGCTACGCCCTCGGATCGCTTCGCGCCCCGAACGTATACGTCACTCTTATGATTTCACATTATAGAGTAGGCAGTGATTCAAAAGTTGTCTATCATTTTAGTTAAAGACTAGGTTGCTAACGTTAACGTTTCTCGATCACATATTCTCTACCGATAGAGTTTCCGCCGAATTTTAGGGAACATCAATTCCACACATTTTAAACGACACACGTTTACACATTTCCAACCGAGGAGCACATGTGATCTCTTAATGGTAGCGCCTGATCGATACAACTATTCGTACCCCAAAGATGTCCGTGTTGACTACTTAGAAAATTGCAGGCGCTCTGGATCTCAGAACTGCAACGCCTTGCTGGGAACTATCCATGCCCAAAATATGTCATAGTTGTACATAGATCAATGGTGAAATTTCAGAAATGTGTATCTCGATTTGCAGCGTTTTCGGATTCCTGTCATTCTTTATTTTCTCTATTCTTTATATTTGCAAAACTACTGGGCGTCTTTTCTTGAGGATTTCGGTAATTTATGTGATAAGAGTATGCTGTGGAAATTTCAAGCCATGATATTTGTTATTTTGTCTCTTTTTAAGAAATAAACAAAGATCGGAGCTTTTGAAACACTGCAACCGAGGTACAAATTTATTTTGTCTCCTCATTTTTATTTTCACCTGAAGTACCACTTTGCCTAGCTCCACGCTTATCGGAACAGGATGCCTCATTCAATTAATTACCTATTTTTAATGCAATATAAATGGAGGTAAATCGCTTTAAATCGTGCTTATTAGAAGTATGTTTTATTCTCTGTCTTTATTGGTGCTTATTTTTGATGAAGATAACACGTGAGGGTGAAATATTGCCGTTTTACCAGCAAGAAATGAAAGTCGGCGGTGATGGCGAGGAGGACCGAATTTTTTTCATCTGGCCGACAACAATCGTGCATCGAATCACCGAGGACTCACCACTGTATCACCTCTCAGCCGCTGACATGATCAACGAGAGATTTGAGATCATTGTCATGCTTGAAGGTACTTAAATATACTATCCATTACGTCACTGCAGCCTGCATCAAAAATGTATAATTTAAACTCAGTGTAAATTGCACGTGTTTTCTTCTTTTAACGAAGATTTATCAAAGCTGAACTTAAATATTTACTTTAATCTACTTTCTAAACATTTTTAACTCGTGCTGACTTGGGTAGCAAGATCTACCTTCTACCACCTAGCAATTTGACGAATAATGAGAAAAAACTAGGGTGTCGAACGGTCCAACCTAAAACTGAACTTCCTGATACATGCTGAGAACAAAAACATTTCTCAGATAATTGCGGAATATTTTTGTAATGATGAATATTAGTGCTCATACAGTACGCTCACAGACGCTTCTTATTGACTCTTCGAAAGATTTTCTTGAAACCTGATACTACCCTCTTTTCTGTGTTTCTGCCTGATTCAGTGTGCGTGTCCGATAACCTCAAATTTCCGATTGCAGTTTTCTGAAATCTTGTCATTTTATTTTTTCTCAAAATACACAATTTTTCATTTAACTTTTTATATTTTTTTTAATCCCACTTTTCATTCCCATTTTTAGTGAGGTTCAATTTTATTATCAAGTAGACAAATATCCCTGAATCTAAAAAGCAGAGAGAAAATGAGACTCTATCTGAGTATTTCTTTGCAATCTTATTCATTCTAATATTCTTGTAACGTGTGTCCCTTAATTTTAGAAATAAGAATGCATTTTTCAGAATTATTACAAATGTTCTATTATGGACATCTATTTGATGAATCAACTTAATTTTCTTGCTCTTTTTACAAGATTTGACCAACCGCGTTCTGGGTCATTCTCGAAAGATCTTTGGCTAAAACTTCTCTGATCAAATGCGTAGAACATAATCCGAGAATAGAATTTAATATATGTTCCCCGGAAATGTTGATACCATTCGGTGTATCCACTGATTTGGCAACCCGTGTTGATCCTAAATGTTGCCTCCTAAATGCTAAATACTCTCTCCTAAATGTTGCCTTTTGTTTCGTGCTAACGCAGTATGTGATCATTATTTCAGGTGTAATAGAATCAACAGGGATGACGACCCAGGCACGCTCATCCTATTTACCGAGCGAAATTCTATGGGGCCATAGATTCGAGCCCTTAGTTTCCTATAAGACTGAAACCGGTGAACACGAGGTTGACTACAATCTCTTCAATAATACTTACGAAGTCAACACGCCTCTCTGTAGTTCCAGGGAGCTCGATCAAATTCTTCACTCCCAAGCGGTTGCCGGTAAGTGGGTGAATTCAAATAAGGGTCAAATTCCAGGTTCAATTTCCTCCCAAAATTTTTTTGTGAATTTTTGGGCAAACCAAACTTTATTTTGACTCTCACTAGGTGTAGACTTAGGAAATATAGCTCGTCGAGCTTAATAGTTATGCTTAAACCCGAATTTCCACCGTCACGTGTATCACCTCCCAAAATTTGCTCTAATTTTGCCTGATTTCCCAAATTTTCATCTCAGAGGTGACATATAATACTTTTAATTGAAAATTGAACGCAATTGTCATAAAAGCATCGTCGAGCACTAAATTAAAGCATAATTGAAAACATGTAACCCTTTCATATCTTACAGAACCAAAAAAAAAAAAAAATCATCCGTCATGAAAGATATCTGGAGCTTATTCTGCTTATCTTTTAGACAGTTCCGTCTGTTTATCAAAATGCCTACTGTTTTCCTTTAACACGAGAAGAAGCTTTTATTTCTTGGAATATTGCGATACAAAATTGATCAAAAACATCGAATTTTAAAACTTCAAGTGGGCGTGTACCCGCTGAAGTGGAGGTAAAGCCAGGAATTGTTTGAGGAATTGCATTAACATATCAATTACACTGGTCAACGTTTTTTTTTTTTTTTTTTTTTTTATTTTCCGAAGATTTGCCAATGGTTTCTGAGTAGATTTTTGGCGCTGATTCCGAAGATCACCTCCATTTACCTGTATCAGTGCGACTTATCCCGGGAAAGTTCGGAATTTTTCCGGAGAAATCGGAATTTTCCTTAAAAATCTAGCTTTTCCAGCAGAGTCAATCTTCCGGGAGAATCTGTGCACGATGGAAAAAACCTAGGAATTTCTCGATTTCGTAGCCTAAGATACATAAGAAACCATGTATTGCACCCCTATTAAAATTTCCTTTCTTTTCCTAATGCCAAGGTTTTCCGGTCCAGTTTCATTAAAATCAATTAATTAGTTGCTGAGATAGCATTTCAGGCAACGTCCGCCATCTTGGATTTTTGAATTTCGAAAATTCGACTAAAAATTCGAGTTTCCCATTCAAAAATACCCCCGGGTACCAAGTTTCGCGTAAATCGATTGATTAGGCGCTGAGATAGCATTTTAGGTCATGTCCGCCATCTTGGATGTTCGAATTTCAAAAATTCGACTAAAAATTCAAATTTTCCCATTGAAAAATGTCCCCGGGTACCAAGTTTCACTTTAATCGACTGATTAGGTGCCGAGATAGCATTTTAGGCAACGTCCGCCATCTTGGATTTTCCACTTTTGAAAATTCGACGAAAAATTCGAGTTTCCCATTCAAAAATACCCCCGGGTACCAGGTTTCGCGTAAATTGTTTGAATAGACGATGAGATAGCATTTTAGGTCGTGTCCGCCATCTTGGATTTTCGAATTTCGAAAATTCGACTAAAAATTCGAGTTTCCCATTGAAAAATACCCCCGGTTACTGAGTTTCACTTAAATCGGTAGGAAAGAGCGCCTACAGGGCTTAAATAAGCAAGTCTCAGTTGTAACAGTTTTCCACTCTGTCCCACTAAACTGGGACATGGGACAGGATGGAACGGGACAAGATGGAACGGGACAGGATGGAATAAGCTGTTTTTTAAGCTTATCTCTAACAGTAAAGACAATTTTGGTGTTTTTTTTCACGGAATATTTAGTAGCACGTCCTAGAGGATCGGAATAAGAAAAAATTTGCCCTAACGCACATTTCGAAAGTATTTTACGAGCTGATATTAGTGTGTGTGTGTGTGTATGCTTGACGCCCTGTTAGTTTTCGTGTATAGAATTCTGTTTGGCATCGTTAATGGCGTTAATCTTGCACAAAAATTTGCGAATTTCAGAATTTTTGCCATCTACGACGTGTGAACTATTCAATCAAAACAAAAAAAAGTCGTTTTTGGAAAAACCTCAACGTTACGGCAATCATTTAGAGCTTATTACATCGTTGCCATGTCTCTCCTGACTGTTGCTGACTGTTGCTCGGGACAATGATTCTAGCGCGTGAATAAGTTATTGATGGAGCAAAAAATAAATTGACATATTCTTTTCTCAAATTCAAAAGCATTACCTATCATCTACGATAAAGTTTTCTTAAAAAATCACTCTAGTTATGCTGCAACATCGATTTAAAGTCAAGAACCAAGCACGGGGGACACGCAAATTTGGGACAAATATAGGCAATTCACACATTCAAAGTTCTCCTAAATTTTTATTTCAGTCCAAAGAAAGTGGGAAATAGCATGTAATGGTCAACAATAGTGTGGAAAATGAAAAAAAAATTTGATCTGCCCATGTTTCTCAGATTATGACGATTAAAACAGCTGGGGACACCAGGTTAGACGCTTATTTGAACTCAACCAAGTATCCATTTTTTAAATGATTTGATCTGATTGTGGGAAAACTAAAGGTTAATGGGATTACCACGAAAAAATTAAAATTAGGGCCGTCCTTAAATCGCGTAACGCTTACTATCGTAATAGTATCTTTGATCTCATAAAAAATACAAGTAGTTGAATAAACACTGTATTTGATTTAAAAAAAATACGTTTTCCGCCCGAAATACTTCGAAAATATGCTGCCATAAAAGTTCGACGTCACAACAATCACAGGTGTTTTTGTTCGTCAAAACGGCCGCTAGGGGCAGCAAAAATCGCCACAAAACGTTACATTCCGTCGAGAGGAGTGTTCACATCAAAATATGATCGTACAGCAGTCATTGTATTAATAAATTGTTCAAGCCTGATACTATACTTAACGAGGAAAACAAATCTTCGGTCCTAAATAATCAAGTTGAGTTTGTATTTTTTTGGTGGTCGAATTGGACACAACTCGTAGTATTGCTCATATGCTTTCCGCGCCGACCAGCGACCGCACTAAGTTAAGCGCACCGCGTGAGGTATTCCCGCACTCTTGTAGGTGCTAATATGCTTTCCGCGCCGACCAGCGACCGCACTACATTTGGCGCAATGCGCGAAGTATTCCTGCGGCCTTGTAGGCGCTAATATGCGTGCCGTGCTGACCAGCCAGCGCTCGGCGCGCGGCGACTGCGCAGTGTTCGGCGCAATGTGTGAAGTATTTCTGCAGTCTTGTCCAACTTTGATGGACAGATTAGCCTTAATGCGTTCGTTGGTCTTTCCACCTATGGGAATACAGTTTATATTTCTTTCCTGTATGCAAAAATGTTGAGAAAATATTTTTTAAGTTTTATTCTTTTCGCTAAACCGTTCGTTTCGCTTGATACGGCAGATCAGAGGTTTAATGTTATAAACAACCTGAACTACTAGATGGTTCATACGGTTTTGATTCATCAACTCATTCTTTGTTTCCTTCCCCAACTGCATTTGTTACCTGTCCTTCCCGTATATCTTTTGCACATTTATCTTGCATGACATATTTTCAACAATTGATAAAGCGCTTAGACAACTTTATTTTGTGTGATAGATGTCCAGAAGTGTCCGTCGACGAACGAGAGTGAATTCACGTGCAGCGATGGGGACTCCTGTCCGGAGAGCGAGTGCCGCTCCAACACGGACATGATCGTCGAACTCAGGCATCTGGTCCTCGATCCGAGGGATGTTCCCGGACCCGAGTCCCAGATTTGACACCTCCTCAAGACAACCAGGTAAGACGCATCTTATGTTCTTATCATCGTTTGTCACTACTGCCGTGATAAGTTAAAACGCCGTGAGATAATTCGAATGTTGCCAAATTTTCTCTCAGAAAATATTTATTTTTGAATAAAGCTAAGAATATTTTTCCTTGAAATTTTTGGACTTTTTAGATTAAATGACGAACGAAATCATCTGAAAAATCGGGAGATGAATATTCGCAAATTTTCCTGAAAGTTTGTGACTTTTCGAAGGAAACTTGGCAACGGCTGATGGCTCATGCGGCGTTTTTCTTTAGCATGGCAGACTACTGCTTGTAGGAATGTACGTCAGCCATTGGTGCCTTCTTGAAGTCAGTATGCCTGACAGTCCCATGAAAACATGGGTAGGACCAGGAATTTTTGTGATCTTGAATTTGGGGGCGCTTGAATTGTAATATAATGCTAAGATTCAAATCATGTCTAGTTGTCCAATGCGCCTTCCAATCGTCAGCTAGGCCAAAATTTTACAGCACGGCGAAGGAATCATTTGAGTCTCGATTTGACTCCCGGTTTTTTTGGAGAGATCAGCCTCCCTGGGGGCAGGGACAGTTTCAAGCAAGCCGCCAGTCCTATGGCGGCATGGCAGTGGTTTTATTTTTTTTTTGGTCCCTGACCTAATCCAGAGGGGCTCCGGCTCCATAGAGGGGGTCAGGAGGGAGGGGACGTCATTCTGCCAACGTGTCATGATTGCCCGAGTGGAGAGGCTCTTCATTAAAATCAATGAGGATGTAACATAACAGGGGCCCGACAAGCGTGGCAGCCTCACTCCTCAGTTGGCAGTAGCCGTTGCTTCCAATCCGCGTTGGTCCCTGGCCCCATCAGAAGTGGACATCGTTCACGTTTCATCGCAGGGGGCAAACGGTTATTGTTGGTCGGTGGACAAAGTACTATCCGAGTGAGTGATTTGTCCATCAGCGATTAACAGGAGCATCGGTCACCCCTTTTGAAGCTTCTATTTTGCTCGTCTGAAAAACGCTGGAGTCTCAGTCCGGGCGCCGGGCGCAAGGATTTAAGTCGGAACTCTCTTGTCCCCGGGAAAATTCCAGGCACAAATCTTCTACCCCATGGAACATTGACAGAAAATTTCACATACATGCACATATACACCTCGGTAATCACACGAATTGTTAAAATCACCAAATATACGTATCTACCAACCAACCACACAAATTTTGAAGAGTCACCGTGAACTTTCCGTGTTCTTTTGGGAAATTTTCATTCCAAGCTGGGCCGCGGCAATAAATGTCGATATTAATTAATTGCAAGCTAGCCTGAAAAGCGGGTTACGTCAGAGAAGACAAAAGTAGATTAATTGGATATAAGATAGAAATTTCCAACCATTGGTAGACACCAGGAGGGAGAGATGGGGGGGGGGGGGTTCGTCCATCAAGTCTGCATCGACTCTACCTCATGAATGTAATTGTTACTCCTTCGCTTCTCAGGTTTCCGACCTATTGTGCATGTGTTTAATCGGATTATACAAAATTAGAGAATGAGTTTCAAAAAAATGAAGGGAAAACGGGGTTGGAAGGGAGAGGAGCAGAGTGAGAGGAAGCGATGATTTGTACTCTATTGTCTAGCTCTTGTTTCCTGTCGATCCATTCATAAAATATTCCTGTCGTTATGTTGTCTTTTGTTTCCACAACTGTATTTGGTCGGTGCACCAGTGAATGCAACCGGCAGGCGCTCTCCGTGCATTACAGTGCATTTTTCCCGCCTTAATGACTCGATGCACTGCACTCTGACAACCTCATCAAACTTGCAAATAATCTTTCATAGAGATATTTCGAATGCACAGCACTATATCATACCTCATTATACCTCTACCAAAACGGACTTTTTGGTTGAGTCAATGACAATCCTACCTGAGGGAACCAAATCGTGTTTATCACATCATTCACACCACTCCTCGATTCACAATGGAGATGTTGTATGTGTGAGGAATTTGCGATTTGACTACTGATTTTTATGTAAAAGTTCGCGAGAAACAAGATAGTGCCACTGGTTTTCTCTGAAATCAACTCCTAAGCTCAAAAAAGCTCTCAAGTTGAGGCCAAAATGGAAGGGATATCCCACGCTATCCTGAGAGTCCACCTCTACATCAAGACAAACTCTCCATGCAAAGATAGGGAGCAAATGCATTAGCAGTGATGCCGTGTTTTCAGTTTTAGAGTCCCCAAATAAAGTGGGAGCCAATGTATTTGCTTCCTATCTTTGCATGGAAAGTTGGTCTTGATGTAGAGGTGGACTCTCAGGATAGCGTTGGATATCCCCTCCATTTTGGTCTCAACTTGAGAGCTTTTTTTGAGCTTGGGATTTGATTTCAGAGAAAACCAGTGGCACCATCGTGTTTCTCGCGAACTTTTACGTAATAATCAACAGTCAAATCGCAAATACCTCACACATGCAACATATCCATTGATTTGGAAAATCTCGATCTTCCTCGTCTGTCGTGCTACGGAAAAACGCAGTATAAATATTCGAGAGCTACCAAATTTCCTTTGAGAAAATATATATTTTTGAGGAGAGTTGTGAATATTTTCTCTTGAAAATTTCCGACAGTTCAGGTCAACTTCGAATAAAATTCTCTAAAAAATTGAGAGGGAAATGTACGAATCCTCTCCTGAAAATTCGAATTTTATAAAAGGAAATTCGGTAACAGCTGAAGGCTCAAACGGCATCCTTCTTTAGCACGGCAGCATTAACTTACGTTTAATAATTTCTCTCAGAATGATGCATCTTCAATCTTCGCTGCAAGTGTTTTATTGTCTAAAATACTCCTCAAGTGAAGCTTGTGTGCCATAATCACACAAACTGTCTTCGTGAGAGGGCAATTAAAGAATTGTGACAACCGGGCGGCCTGCGGTCGTAGCAAGTAAAGCCGCGCTTTGAAGTCCACCCGACGGTAAAACTTGAACTTGAAGAGCTTGAAAGTTGTGAAACAAAATTTCTCAACAGTAATTCGTGGGAATAATTTCGGGTTTATTGTCGGCATTCGAACTGACCTTTTTCACTGTGTAGTCCGCGTAATTCTAATTGAATGCCAAGTCAGCTCACCGCAACGCGCCAAGTTAATAATCCTGGCGTTTAGAATCCCAAAAATTAAAAACTGGAGACTCTCTCTAATCATATCCTAATTTTGGTGCGAAAAATGTAACCGCTTATAAATGGAGTACCTGTATAGCGAGAGTATGAACAGATCGCTTCATGGAGGGTTTAGGGCCCAAAAGTGCAGCCACCCTTCTAGCCATCTAACGCACAAAATTTCACTGGCAGTCTGCAGATTCCAATTCTAACCAAGTAGGCTAAGGATGTACGTAAATGAGCGTTCCTCCGCAAAAACGAGTAAATTTATGCAAAAATAAGTCAAATACGTGCTTTTGCTTTATAAACGATGGTTCGTAACAATTGTATTAATACATATAAATCGCTCTGGACACTTGAAATTCATAGGTTGACTGCATTTCTGGGCCCTAACTTTATTCGCGGAGGCATCGGTGAAGGCCTGATGGATTTTCGGAGTTTCCTATCTATCTATACTCTATATAATTACGATCTATAGCTAAACTTATGCTCAATTTACAGAAATTTATCCATGCGGTTCGTGAATTCTTTTAAAAAAAACTTTAGACTCTGTTTTCGACCGGGTCTTGTTCTTCCAACTCAATGAAAATGAAAACAATGGAATACGAAAAAAGAGCCTCAATTAATATGAATCGCCAACATTTTTTGGTCCAAATCACTGAATTTTTCGATTATAGGAGCTGAACCTCGTCAATAAACCGAAATGGCGTAACGCTCTCCTCAACCCCCGTCCCATCCCTTGGACGTTACGTATTTTATGAGCGACTCCTAATAGCTTTTAACCACAGCCAACACCAACTAGAGGCCACAGGAGAGGTACTCAAATGAACAATTAGCGGAGTGAGTCAGACGAGTGTAGGTCAGTTGGCAACTCCGCCGCTGGATTGTTATGCGCTCGAGCCGGCCCGGCGGGAGATGCTCTCCTCGCAGACAACACAACACAAGTTAGTGAACTTTGCGGGCGCTTTCGAGCATTGCGCATGCGCCGCCCGCCTAATCTCGACGCATGAATGAGACCGCCGAGCCGAAACATAACCTCGCCAGGAAAAAAATCAGTATGCGAATACACTCGCATCGCGTCGGTGACCTCTCAATCCACCGCGAGTCCCGAACACGCGCCAACAGTGCCGTCAAAAACGCGCGAAGTTTTTACGTAAGGGACTTAGGACGTGTGCCGTTTAATTAGACCAACGTCCAATTAGAGGTTAAGTTGTTTCTGCCTTAACGAGTGATTAAAGGGGCGTAGTGGTTGATCCTCGCGCCGAAGCGCGATTTTTCGATTTGCGCGGGAAAACGCCGCGAATTAGATAAGTTTGAAAAGCGAGGCGCGACGGCTTTGCGAGTGTAAACAAAATCAGTTATTGGTCAACGACGCACAGTGGATCGAGTCAATTAGACAGGCCGGACATGAAATTGCTGACTAAAACTGCAAATTTTTATGTTTATTTCGTCACATTTTAAATTTCGACGGGTGCTTCTCAAAGAAAATTGTACGAGGAAACCAGTGAAACCACTTATTAAACCTCAAATGTTCGTATGAACGGAGTTAAAAGCTTTTAAAGTTCCCTAATTTTGTCCAACATCTCCCATTGAATCGATCCACGTGCGACATCTCTATTCGATGAGCTTTTCACGATACGAGGACGATAACCCGTATGACCCTGATTCGTCTATCTATCGTAGAATATGCTACTTTTCTGCAGTTAATGTAGTAGATTTACATTGTAGTGCGGCGATTGTTCCTTCAAGAAAAACGCTTTAAGTCATGTCTTTTGTGAGTTGACTAGAATTTCCAAACCGGTGCTTTTTTTTTTTTTTTAGGGAAACCCGTGTTAAGAAAGTGATAGTGAATTCGTTAGTGCCTCAAGAAAATTAGCTCGGCGA